AGTTCAAAGCATTCGAAGAGATGATTATCTTAGGAGAGATCTTAAGGAGATAAGCGTGAAACCGAAAAGCTACCTGCGTTCTCCAGGGCAACAAAAGCTCCCCGGTGGCTTTCCTTTCTTCCTCCGCCATTGGCCTCCTTCCGTCACTTTTCTCGGCTCCTTTTTGCCCCGTTCCATCGTCCTCCTGTTCGTTCTCCACCTCTTCGTCCGATGACGAGGACGCTGACGAGCCGGAGGAGGATGAGACGGCCGACTTGTTCTTCTTCTCCAGGTTGAGCTTGAAGGTTCATCAAGCCGGCATGAGGGGGTTTCACGTGGTGAATGATCAAATAGTCGATGGGGCCGATGGGTGATATTATTCGAAGCACGAATTCTGTACCAGACCTTGACAAAACTAGTTCTTACCAGTTGGTTGCTCGTGCACACAAGCTTGGCTACTTCTTCGTCCTCCTTCGTCTTCTTCTTATCCTCCGCCTCCTTTTCGGACGTCCCGACCGGTTTGTACAGCTTCCTTTTGTTTATCAGGGCTTTCGAGGGCGGATCCACCAGGTCCACAGAGTAAACAGAGGCCAATTGAAAATAATAGATCAAAAGGCTGTTTTAGCGTTTGCCTCTAAAGTAATCTGGTCTCAAACTGAACGTCAAAACCGGAGCACGAAAACGATCAACGGAAATCTCGGTTTTTATTTTTGTTTATTATTTACCTTGCACGCTGTCGTTGATTTTCTGCTGCTCCGCTTGGATCCAACGCTTCCTCTCGGCCTCCTCCTCGCTCGGACCTCCGCGCATCCTGCCGTCGGTGACAGTTTTGTTAGTTTTTAACATCGAACACGGAATCCTCTTCGCATCTAACGCACGTTCTCACTTTTGAATCGCGACTCGAAACTGATCGTGACCTACCAAGCTTCTGCGCAGGCGCGATCCCGCTGGAACACCGGCCTGTCGTCCAGATAGTTGAGATTCTTACACTTCAGGATCATCGTCTTTCGGTACAGCTTAATCGTCTTAATCACTGGATTACCCATTAACGACACGACCCGCAATTCCTTCATGTAGCCTAATATCTGCGAAAAAATTACACGTCTAACCGATTAATTCGCTTGACACAATTAATATACCTCTCACGTACACCCAACGATATTTACGGGAAATATAATAACTTAAAAATCTGAATAATCTATCAATTAAACCGTAAGTTCTATTTTGCCTCTTCTTTTTTTAGCTTTCAGATCAATGTTTCAAACAGCCGCACTTTTCTTTATATTCTACAAAATGTTCCCGCGTGAAATTCGTATAATAAAGACCATAACATGATAATTAAACAAAATTCAAAGCATTCGTGTTCGCTAAAAATCACCCGGCAATATTTCATCCTTGTCTATACGACGGGAACGCTTTCTACGTCGAGTTCGCAGCGGCTCTCGCCACAGAATGTTATATCCCCTTTGGCAAAAGTTCGCGTTACATCATACGCCAGAGGCGGAACGATTAATGAGACATAACGGACTCACGTTAACGACGTCTTCGGTGTCGATCCTGTTGTGAGAAATATCCAGCACCGAGAGGCTTTCCAGCAGTCGGAGATGCTCGATGTCGGCGGCGTGTTGCAGGTAGTTGTGCGACAGGTTCAGACTATTCAGGAACTTCAGGCTATCTGCAAGCAAAGAAGGAGCACGTCAAGGTCAAGGTCACTCGCGTGGATACCCGCGGCGGGCTTGCTCGGATCACCGAGATTCTCGATCCTCTGTATAACGTTGTACGAGAGGTTCAGTGTGTCCAGCTTCGTCTGGTGCTCGAGGTTCTCGATTTTGTTGATGAGATTGTTCTGCAGGTAAAGGCAGCGCAGCTCGGCCTGATTCTCCAGATTGGCGATCTCGCGGATCCCGTTGTTCTCCAGCCATAGACACTTCAGACCCGTGTACTTCTCCAGGTTCTCGATGAAGGAGAAACCTAACATGACAATTTCGAATAAAAGTATTTATACCATAATCGATCGAAGATATTTGTGTCTAAATATATTTTTGGAATATCTTTTATTGCCATTTTATGAAACTGCGACTCAGTTAACACGTTCACTGTCACGGTGGTCACCGGTGACCGGAGCTTCGAAATTGCTTAGATACAATTACAATAAGGAAATACATCGAATAAAAATATTTAGTAACACAAACGGCTAGATGATACTGGAACACGTGTACTGTGGTACCAAGCCATTAATAATTATTTCTAATACCATTTGTCTTTGTTATGAAAAAATATGTATTGTTACGCAAAATTAAATTCTCGTGGCAGTTAACGGGTTCAGTTTTGGAATGTATTTACAAAGTTCTATAACTTTAAAATTGAAATATGAGGGAATGCTTAACGGGCCTAGTTCCTTTTCTTTCAAAACAGTTATTGGGTAATAAGCGTTGGTATTCGTACAGTTTACTGATAGATTTCCAATTAATATATCATTAATAAATTTATACGAGACACATTCTTTTACATGGAAAATTCACCTTTATAATGCAGATACAACACATCGTTCAAGTACGGTGTCTGAAAAAGTTTATTCAGCTTGCAATGCTTCTGCAGGAACACCTCCGTCATTCTGCGATCAAACACCGTTCACTTTACTAAACGCGAAGTCGTCATACCGCAAAAAAGAACAATGTCTAGCTTTCCCCGACGCTTCACCGGGCTTTCAATTGTACCTGACACCGTGTTTCTTCTCGTCGAAGTCGTACACCTTCCCCTTGATGTACGTTCTCTCCGGTTCCTTGGGCAACTGCCAGAACAGGGAGTCTTCGGTATCAGCGATTATGTCCTTAACGATGTTGCCAACATCCTCTTCCGCCGGCTTCGGAGTTTCAGTTTCTTTTGAACTCGTATCAACAACTGTCCCGTCGAGATCTACGTTCTCTCGGGATATTTCGGAGGATATTACCGTGAAAATTTCTGCTACCTTGCTCTTCTCCTCTTCGACGTCTACTTCGGGCTTGGCCTCCTTTTTCCCACCGCTAATTTCTTCCTCGGCATTCTCGGAGTCCTCCGCTGCCGAGATAATCTTCAGACACTCTTGCAATAGCTCTTCGCGGTTCTGCTCCTCTTCGACGGCATCTTTCGGCACACTTTTGATCCTGAAACTTTCCGCCACCTCGTTCTTCGTCAAAGGCATCTCAAGATTTCCCGGTGCTCCATCCAGCTCGCTTAAACTTCCGTCGGACTCATCGTTCTCGCCGGACACTCCCCCAAGCGACGGACTTTTCTCCTCTAAAGCTTTCTGTTCCGCGACCAGCCGCACAACCTCGTTAAACTCCAGCGACAGATCCTTCAATGCCTCGTTCTTCCTGCTCTCTATTTCCGCTTTGCCTTCGGCGATCCTCTTCAATGTCTCTCGCGCTTCTTCCTCCGTCTTCGGACTACTGGACACCGTGATCTCTGCTAACTTCTCGAGATAATTCTCCGTTGATACGATATTTCTTGATCCTCGCGCAATAAAGTTTTCCTTTTCCTCTTCCGAATCGCGGTTCTCAGTATCCGGGAGTTGAGATACTTCTGTGATCTCGCTCGTTTCGACCATCGTTGCTTCAGGATTCAGTATCCTCGCTTCGAATTCAGGTTCCTTAATGTTCTCCCTGAATTCGATGTAAGAGGATGCACTTGCATTGGGACAGGAGTATATCAGTTTCTTGACATCATCGTCAGAGTCGCTGGAAGAGTCGTGATCATCTTTTTCCTGCTTTCTCTCGATTTCTTTTGCTTTAATCTCGCAAATACTCATTCTATTTTCTTGTCCATGGTTCTTACAGTTTATTAATCGATTATTCATATCAAATTCATCGATACTTTTCTCTTCATCTTCGTTATTTTCGTTTTCTGAGCGACAACCACAGTTTCCATCATTAATACTGTCGTTTACATCAGTAATATTTGGAACAGTTTTCGTTGAATCGCTCTGATCGTATTTTATCTCGATCGTAGAGACTTTCTCGACGATAAATTCGTTACCAACGGACTCGCTGACGTCGGCGGCGAATCGTTCGCAGCAAGAACCCTCGCAGCATCTGCACGACAAGCCTGTGTTCTCGCCTTCCTCAACGTCAAAGATCAGCGTGTCATCGAAATCACTGTCGCTGTCCTTCTCCGCTTTCGTCGAGTTGTAATAGGACAGATTCTCGCAAGTCACATCAAAGATCGCGTCACAATCGAAGCATGACAGCCAGCTGGGACTGTCTTGGTTTTCCAGTTCTGGTATGGAATCTGAAATTGGTTCACCGATGGAGTCTTGATCGTTGGTTGCGCATTCGGTCTTTGGCAGCTGCGAGGCAGCCACCTCCAAATCTACCAACGAATCCTCGAGAGCCTTTGGAAACACAAACAGAAGCTTTTCCTAATATTTCCAAAGATATTTTATTAGCAAAGATGCTAAGTAATTTGTCCGTATATATAACCATCTATTTCCAAACTAAAAATGATCCCTCGATACTATTTTTGAAATTTCCGAATATTTTCAATAATTCGTAATTATTAATATTCTAAAAGGTTTGTTCGTTCTATTATACAGTTTTTAATTCAAATTAATTATGCTGTTGATTTCTAACCGTGTCATTCGATTCCGTTTCAAGCAACGACGCACCACTGCCGGAAACGTCGAGCCCGGATTCACTTGAAAGCCTCTTCTCCACGGAGCCCGACAGAAAATGCTCGCACTGCTCCTCCATCATCTCTAAAAGGTACGTCCGACTTGATCAATAGTTTGTTATCGAAGTTAAACCAGCGACGAATCCACGGTTTATTCGAAATTCGCGAAAACCTGTTTCGTCATGGCCGCCGGCTGCAAACACAAGAAGCTCGTCATGGTAACTTACGCCGTGCAGCTTTCGTTTGTTCGATATTTCCTTGATTCTCCGTTCAATCATAGTTTAACACGTAACTCCTCTTCTAACTTATTCAAAAACATTCTTCAACAACGAGCATTATACTTACACATTAATCAACTGCAATATTACCAATGAACATAACCAAAAATTTACAAAATACCCAGCATGTCATAAAGCCAAACATCTACCTTAACATAGGATCTCATGAGCCTCATCGACTTTCCCGTCATTATTCTAAGGTAATTTAGTTTTTAAATATGTTGAACAGAAATCATGTTATCTAGTGCTGTAGAAGTACGGTGTTATACAAGAGTTTACGCAATTTTCTCATCATGTTAGAGCGAAACCGTGTTGTAGGAGGGGGGCTACCTATACTAGCAAACTTCGAACAGCGAAAACTTTGATTCTGTATACCATCTGTAGTCGAACCCCGGATCCCGTCGATTCCAGAACGTTCTATGGGGAGAGCGCACCTGATTAGAAGGGGGGTAGACTCACAATCAGTTACTTTGTTTATAGGGTATCTCCGTCTCGTATCTATTCTTCGGGCACCTCGCTTTGCTTTCATTACGTCTGGATGCCCCCCCGATGCTATTTGCTTTTCCACTTGGCTTTCGAGCCGGAGCCGGCGATGATGTTCGTGAATGAATGCTATCAACATAACTCAGCGGAAAAAGGCACGGCGCGGCGATCCGCAACGCGTCGCGACGAATCCGGGATCGATGGAAACGGGAAATCGGCTCGGTCGCGAAGTACTTCAGCGAGACCGACCCGCATCCTCTTTTTTTTTCTCTTGCCCCCTCAAGGCGAACCCCGGTCGTCTACTCTCTCGCAAAGGCGCGTCTTTCTGCGCAGCTAGTCGCCTCCGTTCTCCCCCTCTTTGTCTTTTCACCCCAGATGATAACAGATGATTTCGTTTTTCCATTTTCTGCCGCGGTCTGCCAGCAGGCGGTCTCTTCGTCACGGACACCTGGTTTAAGCCACTGCCAAGGGCAGCCCGCCGATCGTTCTCCAATGCCGGACCGTTTCGGTAACTGTTATCTTTTGCGTGAGCAATTATATGCGTTGTTAACGCTTTAGCTGCCGGACAGTTATTAACACGGTGACTGCCAAGGTGATCAACGATGACCGGAGCTTTCAAATTACAGGAATAATCGCAAATAACTAGTAGCTTGAATAACTATTGATAGTGTTACGTGAAAATTGGTATACCAATTAATTAATAACTATTCCTTCTTATCTTCGCTATAGAGAGAATAAGCGATATATAAAACGTTGGTGTTTTTCGTGGCAATCAACATGTTAACCGTGAATCACTGATCTTTCGTTGAAATGATTGCTGTATCTATTTACGTCTGAGGAACAAGTGTTAGATACAGTTTAGTAATCTAGGCTTAATAGTCCGCAAATAATTATGTCACTGAATATAATTTACTGATTCAGAATTATGATTCCTGTTGCAGTTGAAAATTCGATTAAAAAACCCTTTAGGCATTGATAATTATACTTCCACAAACTACCCGATAACTGTATACATTGCGAAAGAAATTCGCAAGGTGCCTGATTCAATTAATTTTTGTAAAGATACATACTTTCCGTAAATTGGAGCGTCGACGAAGCTGTAAATTCTCCCAGAGTAACCGGTGGGTAATTAAGACCAGCCAGAGGTGACGAATTATTCCCAATTAGCGGATATAAAAGGGGATAGCGAGAATTGGAAACGTATATTCCGTTCGACTCGACGCCGCTCGAATTATTCGTTCTCCGTTGCCGTTAATTCCTCCCCGTTCCACGCCTCCTTTCCCCCTCCCCCTCCTTTCGCAAAGGATTCTCTGTGTTACCGTGTCGAGATAATCAAGCCAAGGTTCCAGGGGGAGCGTCGGGAGATATCGGCGTCCGAGAAAAAGGAAGCAAAAAATGAAATATTAATCTTGGCCGGTGTTTCCCTCTGTTCGTTCCTGCTGTTTTATTCATCGGGCGAGGACGATGCAAAATATCAGGTGGTCGGAATTAAAATAGATTACGACCGTATTACCGCATACGAGATTTCGTTCCCGCGGAGAGAGGAGGCAAGAAGTAGACGACTCCGATGCCGCGCCGCGTTGCGGCCACAGGGTCGACGGAAACGGGAAATTGCACCACAGCTCCATATCCGAGCAACACGGTCGTCCCATCTTTTTTTCTCAGACGCGCCTTCCTGCGCAGTTTTCTTCGCCGTGAGACGACGGCGGCTACCTCGTCCCGTGTGGAAATCAGATGCTCCACGTTACATTATAGAGGATCGATCCCGCTCGACGTCTGCTCTGAAACACCGGCGAGCCTCGTTAACCCTTAATTACCGTGGAATTATCTACCTAATATGGGACCATTATATTGTTACTATTAGAACGTTTGTTTGTGCACTACAAATTTCCTTTTTCTCATTTTCCTGTGGCGTCTACTTCTCAATTAGATTCTAATGAATAGGTAGCAAAATAAATAACTACCATGAATACTAGTGGATTGCAGGAGTTTTCAGAATAGTTGTGTAAGCTTATCTGTGATAGATAAGAGATTCGCGAGAATCTAATTAACCAGTTGTCTCTCGTGAAATATTTTGTCTCCGAAATGGGTCGGTCGTAGATCGCGCCGCGTCTCCAGGTGAATAGGTGAAAATAATATTTGCTCCGGATAGAAACCAATCGCATCGATGGTTGCAAATGCATTTTTGTCAGAAACCCGAGTCTCGTATTACTGTTATTGGTCGTCCGTCCAAAAATACGCGTGTACGCGTGACTACATTCCGATCGTCGTTAGTGACAGTGCACTTCCACCGGATAATATTTGCGGAACGCTCGGCGTATGCTGACACAGAAAGCCGAGAAGATTACAAGGAAGTTACACGCGTAGATACCTTGACGCCGCGTAATAGGACACTGCTGCTTCTGGCGATAGCAACGTGAGCGACAGCGGGTTTTCGGTGCACCGATATCGTGCAACACGAGACTTTCTTCTATCGATGATCCATCGATCGTTCGTTTCCGAAATGTAAGACCCACGAAGAACGATCACGAACAATCGATACTCTCAATTACACATTGAATTCTTCCCAGAACCTATTCTAAATTCCGATAGAAACCCTATTCCATTACGCGTTTCACTAGAAAATAAGAATTCAATTAAAATTCATTCATTAATCGAATCTTGTTCCCTTGTCGAACTGTTGTCAACAAGTTGTATGCCGTGGGTGCCACCGGTGACCCCCAAACAAATCGAATTACTGTAATTCAATCAATTAAACGACGATTATTTAGAAATATCTCTATATTATAAATAATGCTGCCTAATGTGGCGATGTTCAGCTAGATGAATGTGCAATAATAACAACGCAATTCAATCAAATGATTTAGTATTATATTTTTTTCATTTTGTGTATTTTGCTCTATGAAATCGTGCAGCGTTCAACGTGTTAATGCGCTCAACGTTTAGGAGAGAGGGTCAAACGGGGCTTGCGACACTATGGAGAACGAAACGGTGAGACACTTGGTGCGGCGATACGGATTTTCGTTACGATAAAGCGATTCAATGACTGGAGAACAATTTCGTATCGCGTCTCTCGGTTTCCATGAGCCGGCGCGTGACCATGACCTCGACGATCAGCCTCTCGCTCGCTTCTAAACCGAGTTCACCTAGCTTTCAATCACTTTTTTTTCTGCGAGCTCGTCGGTTCCAGTCCAGCGTGCACGCTGCTACCCCGACGCAAAAACCGACAATCTCTCCGCGGACCCCGCGGCCTGGAACCGGAAAAACAAATCTCTGCCCGCGGAACGCGGTCGGTCTTCTCGTTTTCGCCGGCCGATCGCCGCGAAATAACGGAGACACGCATACACGCACGGTGTTGAATTATTTAAGCGTCCGCGAAGGAGACTATAAGGGGATTAAAAGGCTAGAGGGATTAGAATTTCAAGAGAAGCGGTAAAAATATTCAACCGGGACTAAATTTACTTCGAGATGTATATCTCGCGACCTTGATTGCGAAGATCAGCTGCTCCGGATGGTCCTTCGGAAATTCGGTATACATACGGGAAACTCTGATAAAGAATCTCGATGAATGTCGACACTGTTTCGATATTGAACCAATAAACTGTATACGGTATCTATGAAAGTTCAATCGAAACCTCTCATGAATATTAGATCTCACTTCGGGTAACTTCTCATTTTCTCAATTTACACTTCCCTGCATCTATATTACTATAAATTAATATACTTATACTGTACTTAGATTCGTCGAAGCAATTCGTTTCATTCGAATTTCAATGAATTTTATCGAGCAAAAATTATTCGAGGAGAAGAAGTGGAAGAAACACGTTTCGAAGTAAAAAGGACGGGATCCGAAATTTTTGGGCGCGGATAAAATTCGTTCCTCGCAAGACGCCTGGTGACCGTGACCTCGAGGATCGCCCATCACGCACACCGAGAGATCCCTTTCGTGTACGGACACACGGAGATCGCGACGCCGCACGCACGAATCACAGATTCGAATGCATTATGTAATTGCCAGCTTCCCCTTTCCACCTCGACGCTGCTGACCGGCTCTCCTGTCTCTCGCTCGTCTTCTCTCTCCCTCTCCCTGTCTCTTTCTCTCTTTCTCTCTCACTTTTATTCAGCCCGGTGCGAGCTTTTGAAACGCAAAGCAGCCGTGGGTGGCCAGCTTCTTCTCCTTGAGAATTAAGGATCGCCGCGGCCTAAGACGGAGGAGGCGGAATCGTATTTGAATACGCTTTGAATCCGCGATCGGCCGTGAAGCGTTTTCTGGCCGTACGAAATTCGTCCGATTTAAAGAGCCCCGCGCCGGAAGATCC